GGTGTGAGCTTCCAGCTCTGGCCTGAGATGTGCTGGAGCTCTGGGTGCTGGTGTCTGCCCAGTTTTTACCTGCATCCTGTTCAGCTTTCAGATTTCCTAAAAAAAAAAAAGGAAAAAAAAAGGCATTTCCCTTGCTACATCACTTGTGGTTTGTTTCTTTTTTATTTAAGAATCTATTGTCTCCATTCCCTGTTTTAATAATATTAAAGGAACAAGATTACAATTACTGTTAATTTTTGAGATAGCTATGTGGTACTGGGAATTTGACAGGTTGAATTGAGTAACATGAAGTTGAGCGGGTGGAAAAACCTCATGGCATCGTAGGGGCAGAGTAAGTACCTTTGCATAACATAGCTCATAATACTGATTTATTCGTGTACTACAGGTACACGTGTGCATATCCTCCCTGTTGCTGAATGAAATTCCTGTGTAGCACATGAGAAAATATGGCATTTAGGGAAATGCGAGCTTCTGGCATCTTGGTTAGATACTCGGAGCTGGGGGTGCAAATCTGAGTGTTTTTGCCAAATGTGGTACATGTGATTTGAGGCTATCAGACTACATTGCTCAGTTCTTGAAGAAGACATCTTATTTATTTCCAACCTTCACAAAAGAAAAGTTGAACTTCTAAATGCAGTGTCTCTCAGTAGCATTTAATTATACTACAATCCTACTTTTGCTTTTTATAAGTACCATTAGTTCATATAAGATTAGGGATAATCAGAAAATTGATTTTTTTCCCCTTCTGAGAAGATTTTACAGGATTTATTCTGAAGTTGCACTTTCTGGAGCAGTGTGATCACTGTGACTGTGCTGTGAAACGTAGCTGAAATGACCATGGCATTGCAGATGCCAGTAGTAAACTTCAGAGACCAAGAAGCACTGACTCTGCTAGTGGGAGTTATGCTATTTTTCCTGTTTCATAATCTTATTACCGACAGACAGTTTTCTTTTAACTGTGCTAATATTTTGATATGTGCAGAGATGGTGTAATTTTCACATTTTTCCTTTTCCCTTTGCAGTGTGAGGAGCAGCCTGAATGGGAATGTAATTTATACATGTACCTGTACTTTGTGATTTTCATCATCTTCGGGTCTTTCTTCACATTGAACCTCTTCATTGGTGTCATCATTGACAATTTTAACCAACAAAAGAAAAAGATAAGTAGTGCATATGCTACACATCACTTTGTGATTGCTGCAGAGACCAGGGCAAGGGATAGATTTATAAGCAGTGGCTTTGCCACATTAACCTCGAGATTAGCATTGACAGAACGGCTGCAGAAACCATGTTGCAGGACTTTTACAAAAGCGCAGTTGTAGCAGCCCCCAATGTCCCCGTAGGATAAGCATCCTGAAAATACAGGCTGGAGGATTATATTCCCCACAGAAAGCAGTGAAGCAGCTCCATGCAGATAGGATCTCTGGCACAACCTCTGCCACAGAGGCGCAGACCACCCTAGTGTCCCCCACGCACAAACCCCACTGTCCCTCAGAGCAGTGCAACCCCTTCTCCTCAACCCATCGCCTCCCTGTCCCAAGTGCAGACAGGGTCAGGGAAGAGCAGCCTGGCCTGAGAGCTGTGCTTCTCGCTGCTTTGTACGCATTAAACAAAGGCTTGAGGTTCTTATAGTTTCCCCTCTTGCCCTGGACTTACCTCAAGGGCAGGCAGAATCTGAGTCTTGCTCCTCCTGGGTTGCCTGCACTGCTCTGTGTCTCCTGCCCTTTGCCTTCATGCGATAAGCAGCTCCTGGCATTGCATCTCATCTCGTCTCAAGCCCTTCTTCGATATTTTGATTAAAGCTCCATGAAAAAGAAAATAAGAAAGTAGAAGAGGATGCAGCCCTGAACTTTGGATGGGGGCAGTGGAGCTCTTTTCATCAAAAATAATAGCTTTGTTCTCACCGTATACTTAGGTGGCCAGGACATCTTTATGACAGAAGAACAGAAAAAGTATTATAATGCAATGAAAAAACTTGGATCTAAGAAACCTCAAAAGCCTATCCCAAGGCCACTGGTAAGAATGACGTAATTCAATTGAACTTTGTGTAATAGCTGAATATTTATTTAGTAGAATAAATGTGATTCAACTTCCCACAGTATGAAGGGTGATCGCTCCCAGGTGAAAGCTACTTAGTATTTACATGTTTTGATTTTGGACAATGGTTGCAAGTCCAGTGTCCTGTGGTACAAAATTTCCACTGTTCTGCAATATTGACTAAAAGTCCAATTTGCGTACACAATTTACGTATGCATTTTACATATGCAATTTACATATGCCTGTGGCCACATGCCTGCATTGAATGCATTCATGGCCCCAGTCCAAGATCTTTTCAGTTGTTTCAAGAAGCATTAGGAATAAATGGACTCGAAAACTCTATCATACAACCATTCGTCATCATCTTTAAGTTTATGAAGTTCCAGTCAGAAGCAGTATATTGTCTATTTTCCTCTACCTTCTGTTCAATCAGGAGACAATGAAGTCATCATTTTGACAGAATTCAAATTTCCTGATTAAATCTTCTCCTTTCCTCCAGAACAAATACCAAGGTTTTATTTTTGATGTCGTCTCAAAACAAGCCTTTGATGTCTCCATCATGATTCTCATCTGCCTTAACATGGTTACCATGATGGTGGAAACAGATGACCAAAGTCAAGAAAAAGTGAACATCCTCCATAAAATCAACATGCTTTTTGTCGCCATCTTCACTGGGGAGTGCATCATCAAAATGCTGGCTCTGCGACACTACTACTTCACCAATGGCTGGAACATATTTGACTTTGTTGTTGTGATTCTGTCAATCGTAGGTAGGTGAACCTGGATTTTTACCCAAACTCCAAAGTTAGAGAGGCAGACATAAAATTAATTAGACAAAGTTAAAGGCTTCGTGCAATAATATACCCTTTCGACTCAGAGAATTGGATCCTAAGCATATTTTTTAATATGTAATTATAATATAACATAATACTACCTAACAATAACTGTGTGATCAGCAAAATGATGAGGTTTATCACACCACAGTATTGGTTTCAATGTACACCTAATGGTTCATGGTGATAAAACATGGTCCCGAACTGGCACCATACACTTAACTCCAGTTCTGCATAACAGCCAAAGACAGAGAAGTAAAAAAGCCACATGAAAAGGGCACATGTGGATTGCTGTTGTTTTGCTATTTACTTTTTATTACAACAGTATGAAATAGTCGTTTGGGCAGGTGCAGTGAGTCTGGCTGTTCTCAGCCATGTTGTCACTAGAGCTCCATACCCTTATATATCCAAGGGATGAAACAGAAAGACACAACTTTATTGTTAATTTGTGCCTTTTGCTGTTCTGTAGCCCCAACCAGAGATCGTATTTTAGGTGCTACAGAAGTGCAGGTCAAATGCCTCCCAAAGAGTTTTCACTGAAGTTGGAAATAAAGTAGCAACTGGAAGATGATCAGTTGATCCAACGAGCAGAAGGAACTCAGAAATTTGGCTCTTCCAGAAAAGTTTCCGTTTTGAAAGAGGGAATAGGTGAATGAAAAAGTGTCATGTTAGGAAAACAGAGCCATCTTCTTGTGGGCTGGTGCTCCTGTTGCTTTAAACTCTCTCTGGTGGACCAGGGAACCTGCAAGATCACAGTGCAGGAGATCTCTGGTGCTCAGAGAGCAATGCGTACTTTGGGGGTCCTGGACCACCTGGATTTCACAGATTTGGGTTACCCGGGGAACATCACTACCATGCAGCTGTCATCAGAGCCTTGATGCTGGATACCCTGGCTATGTCCATAGCGGCCAGTTAACCAGAGCTGGTCACGTTGGTCATAGTGCTGCCCTGTCATCAACCATGTCGTTTCAGTGTCAGAGGACTTGAGCAATGACAGTGAGCCCTCTCCCAGGCTGGGCTGGGAGATGGAGCTCAGCACAGCTCAGTGCAGCCAGGGACTGTTGGCATTAGACAGTCTGGACCAAGCTGCTTTGTTTCTGCAGGAAGAGTTTAGCTACAGGGATGCAAGCTCACTTCCTAGCTAGTGCAGTCTTACCTCTTAGTTCCCTCCCAGCCCATCAGGGAAGCTGGAAAACCAACCAAGTGGGTTTCCAGTAGAAACCTGCACTGTTCTGGTGGTGGCTCAGGAAAACAGGGCCAGCACACCAGCGTTTCAGTGCTGACTCACTAACATTTTACAGACAAAAATATTGTCTTATCAGAAAAATTCTGACCAGCTGCACCCATGATAAATTTCTGAGGTGGGTCATGACCAAAAGCTGCAGATATCTGTGTCCTGTCTGAGTTGATCCTGGTTTCTCATTGCCGGTAGACAAGCTTTCCCTTGATAAAACTGCTGCGACCATTGACACCTTTGCTCCTAGTCTCAACAAAGTTTGCACAGCTTAAATGGGCATGAAAACATTGATGACGATGCCATTCCCTTTATCATGGGTCTTCCAGTCTGTGGAGGTTTTCATTGATTTTGTCCATAATCCCGACTGCTTTAAAGGGAATCTTGGGATTATTTCCCATGTACTAACTCGCTGTTTCTCTCTTTTCTTTTCAAGGCACCGTACTTTCTGACATCATCCAGAAATATTTCTTCTCTCCCACACTCTTCAGAGTCATTCGCTTGGCTCGGATTGGCCGGATTCTAAGACTTATCCGGGGAGCCAAAGGAATTCGAACTCTCCTGTTTGCCTTAATGATGTCCCTACCTGCGCTGTTCAACATTGGCCTCTTGCTTTTTCTGGTCATGTTCATTTATGCCATTTTTGGCATGGCTAACTTTGCCTATGTTAAAAAGGAGCATGGGATTGATGACATGTTCAACTTCCAAACTTTTGCTAACAGCATGCTCTGTCTCTTCCAAATCACAACGTCAGCTGGCTGGGATGGTCTTCTGAACCCTATTTTAAACACCGGACCACCATATTGCGACCCAAACCTTCCGAATGCAAATGGTTCAAAGGGAGACTGCGGAAGCCCTGCCGTAGGGATTTTATTCTTTGTTACTTATATCATTATATCATTTCTCATTGTTGTAAACATGTACATAGCCATTATTTTAGAGAACTTCAGTGTAGCCACTGAGGAAAGTACAGAGCCTCTAAGCGAGGATGATTTTGATATGTTCTATGAAATCTGGGAGAAGTTTGACCCTGAAGCCACTCAGTTTATTGAGTATTCTGCACTTTCAGACTTTGCAGACGCACTATCAGAACCTTTGCGCATAGCAAAACCAAACAAAATCAAACTCATAGCAATGGACCTGCCCATGGTCAGTGGAGATAGGATCCATTGCTTGGATATTTTGTTTGCTTTTACAAAAAGGGTGCTAGGAGAATCTGGAGAGATGGATGCCCTTAAAATACAGATGGAGGAAAAATTCATGGCGGCGAATCCATCTAAGATCTCTTATGAACCAATTACAACAACTCTCAGACGGAAACAAGAAGAAGTCTCCGCCATTGTCATCCAGCGGGCCTACAGGAGACATTTGTTTCGGCGCTCCATGAAGCAGGCATCTTACTTGTACCGGCACAGGACTTTTGATGGCAGCATCCTCGAGGACGATGCACCCGAGAAGGAGGGTCTTATTGCGTTCATGATGAACGAAAACTACGGCAGGCCAATAGACAAATCAGAAACTCTATCCTCCACGTCTTTCCCTCCATCCTACGACAGCGTCACCAGAGGTACGAGTGATAATCTTCAGCTGAAGATGACGGACTCGAGCAAAAGTGATGAGGCTATAGATTGTCTTCTCTCGCCGGACAAGGATAAAGAATCAATTGTTTAAATGTTTGATTAGAATGCTTTAAAATATTGTTTACAGAATGTAATGCTCTAACTACACAACGATTGAAGCAGCCTTCTTATTAAAAATTAGTTGCAAAAGAAACAATGGAGTTTTTACCCTTAACTACAGGAGTCTAATAAGTCATATAACCTTTGACCCTGCTCTTTTTGACTTGGCTCAATATTTATATTTATATATGCACAGGAAGAATCTTTGCAGGGTCATAGCTGTTATATCAATGGTGTGAATAAGAATATGCTAGACTGTAAAACAGTAAACACAGTGTATATCTATCCACACATAAAGCCTGGCTGTATACATTCATTTAAGGTCTTACTCATATAGTGTGTTTACTTATGGCGATGTATGACCTTGCATTCTAAAAAAGAAAAAAAAAATATCACAGCTGCTGTAGCAAAATGTAACACTTACTGTATATGTTGTGAATGGTCTTTCATAAATTTATTATATTTGATATTTTTTTACTTAAAAAAAAAAAGGTCTCTTTTTCCGTGGAGATTAATGATCCTTACACTCTTCATGATGGTAATAGGAACTTGTGGGATCCCCATGGCTTGAAGAAGAAATTTGTTGCAAAGTAAACTATCAAAATAGCAACATTTTAACTGCTTATTACACTAAGCCCTCCCTCTTGGGACTTGCAACTGCTGATCAGCAGAAAAAAAAAAAAAAAAACAAAACAGAGAAGGAAATGATGTCAAAATAATGAGAGAAATGGCTTGTTCTATCCTTCAGGATACTAGAGAGTAATGGATTCTGTTTGTAAAACTGTTAATAAAAGCACTAATTTTTTAGTATGTTTCAAGAATCTGCTTTGAATACCACAATCAAACTCGGCATAGAAGTAGTGCATCACGTTTGTGTGTAGTGCTCCAAAGCACCATCTACGCTGGCAAAGTTTCTGTTAAGGTAGTGGGATAGGTTACGTTTTCCCCAGGATCACTGAGCTAAGCAGCCTTATTGGAAACTCTGTGCTCAATATTACTCCAAAAATACTACTACTACTACTACTACTACTACTACTACAAACAACACCAATTGAACCATGCAGAACGGCTGCGACAGTGTGATCAAAAAGGTGGGAGGGGAATTGCCTCTGGATCTGTACACAAATTTTGAGGTTTTGAATCCTTTCTACTCAGTGTCCATCTTTCATTTTCTCAGATAGTACAGTTAGATTACTGGGGAAGGACAAGAAATACAGGAACCAATAAAAAGAATCTACTAGAAAAGATATATATCCTCATTCCTGTAAGCGGAGTAATAGTTACCGTTGATGTGTCCATCAGCTTCAGGCCAAAGAAATGACAACTGAGTGAAAGGTGGATGTGTGGCTGTGGAAAAGTATTAGAGGTTTTACGTGCTCACATAGATTATTATTTATTATTAAACTTTCAAGCTTGATAGGATATAAGAAAGTATTTATGGAATATAGAGACAAGTCCATCATTACAGACAAGTTCTTTCTTTTTCACCTTCAGACTGATTGTACTTGGGTTAGGTTGGACTTCATGGAAAATCTTGAAATTTCTGTAATGAGCCATTGCACTTTAAGGAAGAGTAATTGTGCTTTTCACCTTGGAGAAGCAAAGATATCAAGAATGTATTTAAGGTGTATTGTCATTGACATTTATTTACATCCCAGGTTGTAAAGGAGTCAAAATCCACATGAGGTTGGCAACAAGAATTAAAGCGACATGTTACAGTCAAGTTTATCTATGGCCATTGTTATCTGTCCTCTAAACAAGTCAGAATATGTAAAGACAACAAGTCAAAAGGATGATGATGTATCTGTGTAAATATGGGCTAATATATTCTCTCCATTCATTGAGAGGTGTCTCAGGCATTCACTTGAGAGTGGTCTATCAGTTAATTCAGAGGATTTGCCATCAGGATTCCTGGGGTCTATTCCTGATTCTTACTACATGATTTTTAGGCAAATAATTTAACCTATCTGTGCCTCAGTTTACCCATCTGTAAAATGGGGATAATAATACTTACCTACCTCACAGGGGTGTTGTAAGACTTTCTGGTTGCAAAGTGTTATAAGGGAATGAAACGTACTCTATAAGTATTATTATAATCATGCTCTTTTGCCCTTTTAACCCCATGTCCATGGCGTATAACATAGGGCTGTTCCTCTGGGCATTTTGTTGCCTTTAAATCTTGTATGTAATTAGATTCTAACTTAAGGGAACTACTCTTCGTTCCTTAAAGTGAAAATATTCTTTGTTCTTTCCTCCCTCCCCACCCCTAGCCCCCTAACCCCCCTCAAATCCCAAAATTTCTCAAGGCTTCTCAAATTAGAGAAACTTTATACAGATTCCCTGTATATTTATGCTGTAATGTTATTCTGACTGTACATATCACCCAGAAAGAGTATGCGATTTTTATATTTATATGCATATATATATATACACATATACATATATCTATACATATATATGTATCTTGTGAGTTTATAGAGTGACTGACACTCAGAGGACACGACTTACTGATTAAAATGTTTTCATCTCAATGGGATTTATTGATCATTAGCAATGAGCTGCTGCCTATAATGAAACTGTTTAATTAGGAAAAAGTACATTCATTACTAGCTGAACAAGCATTTATTGGCTGACGATTGGTAAAATTATTTTCCTTTCAAAGCTTTGGAATAAAAAAGTGGAAAAAATACTATGAAAAAGGAGCATTTCATATGCAATTTTTTCACATACAATGTAAGTTGTTCAAAACACAAAGGAAGAAACAGCCTGCATTTAGCAGTGTGGTGTTGGTCATGCTGTTTTAAAAACATTTTAACTATTTGCAACTTATTTTAGAAAATATTCAACTGATATTCTTATTAAGAGTCAGGCCCAGTAATGAGTGGGATGTAATGGGATGATTAGCCGGTCACTGATTATATTAGAGAAGAGCTCTTCCTCTGGTCATTTCACCCTTGCGTTGAACATTTTCTTGTCATTGCTGTGAGACCCTGTAGTACTGATGCAATTACAAATGGTTCTGTCTTCTACCCAAAACCTGTAAAAAAAAAAAATTATAATGCAAAAAAATCTGAAAGAGGGTCTTAACTATAGATGTTTACAGTGCAACTTTCTAAAACTGAATTGTAAATTACTTTCAAAACCTTTGTAACTGGAAGGTTGGTTTTCTATTGGGTTTTCTATTGTTTTGTGGTACATTTCTTTAGAGCTGAAAAGGGAATGGTATCTTTGTATGGTATGCAGAACTCCCCTCCAAAACTTCAAATAACCTCACTTGCAGATCTTTATTAATGGAGATGCCGATCCGAACCTAGCAATGATACAACCTCCCGGTGCAGTGATTTAGTTAAAGACACTAACTCAATAGCTGGCCCACACTGTCCATAAGCATGGTGAGTGCTACCATTTTTTCTGTTGATTTGTTCAATAAAGGCTACCACATGAATCACTCAAGCTATGAAAAGAGCAAGGAAAATATCAGCCAATATCATAGGACATACTAAGCTGTTTGTACCTGGAAAAATTCAAGTTTATTATGTTTCTTTATTAAATAAATAAGGATAACAAATATTTCCTGTGCCTTTTTTGTTTTGTTTTGTTATTTTATCAACATTTATGTTATTATTTCTCTGACTATTTTTCAGCACGTTAGTTTGGGAAATGCATGGTGGCTTTTGTTGGAAGGCTTGTCAGTGAAAATCCCTCCAGTTCATCTTGCATTGTAAGACTAACTACAGGCCATTAAAGGTTTGAGCCAAAGCTTGGTGAAGTCAATGGAGAATTTCTGGGTACTTCAGATGAATTTGAAGCAGACCTGAAAGCTTCTTGTCAAAGAGAGTAATTTATAGGATGAGCCCAGCATTGATATTTCAACCTATCCTTGCCCAGTAGAATTAGCCGGAGAAGGAAGAGTTTTACTGGAAACATGGGACCCCACCTAGAGATTAAAAAAAATGTAAATGAGATTTTCTTAACAGTAATATGGATGTCTTTCCACTTTAATTATATTGATTTGCATTTTGGTTATTATCGTATTAGTTATATGTTAAAATTCATACTAAACAAAGAGTAACATCCTTCCCAATGCATGCATGCCTTAATCTCGGAAGGAGCTTCAGAAGGGACACGGACAACCCTTACCTATTACGAGCATTGACTGAATCAGCCTTATCTTCACCCAGGCTAGCACCAGCTTGGTTACCCTGTTTCAGTGCTCTGATTTCTATTTAAATGTGGCAGGTTCCTAATCATATTAAAACAGAAGAAAATTGAGCTGTTTAAATTGCAATGAAAAAGTCCACTCAGTCCTTTGAATTAGTTTAATAAAATCAGTATATAATAATGTTTTACATTAACCTGGGGCAGTCTTACTTGTGGAAAAGACTTTTTTTTAAAATAAGCATTTGCTAAAATGTGTCATATAAGAATATGACTTCTGGGTAACCGTGTGTATAGAATAAATGTCTGAAAAAGTTTCAGCAAGAAATTTTTGGTTGGAAGGAGCAGTTTGCTGAAATGAGAATTCTTTGTGGAAACATGTCAGGTTAGTTAAGGAAATTCCTGGTTAGAATTTGTGGTGAAAATTCCCATGGGAAGGAAATTCAGGGTCATATTCCCTACTATGAATAATTCCACGCCTAGATTTTTACCAGAATTGCCTGACTCCTACACATGTGTTCCCATCACTGTGCTAGGGGCTACTTAGAGTTACAGGACTCTTGGGGCAGTTTCTAAAGGCTTTCAGATTTTTCATTTTTCAGGACGAAATTTTAAATAAATTTTGCCAAAGGGATTTCTTGTTTTCCAGCCTTAACAAGGAACCTGGAGGACCGGATCTTCAGTAAATGAGGATTTTTATAGTCTTTTTTTACATCAGTCATATTATGTCGAGTTTACAAAACCACAAAACTATTAAATCAAGCCTGTGTGAAATCTGTGAGATCAGAGTCAGGACCTGCAATTTCCAGATTCATCTTGAGATTTTTTAGTGGT